CATATTTTCGTTTTAGTTGGAAGGTTAAGTAGCAGACAAGGAGGAGCGTGCATCCCCATCCCAGCTAATTCACAGCACGTTGCTGACCTGCTGAAGGCTACTGCATGGCAAAAATTACCCCCTCCAGAGGTTGCCCCCCAACTTCATGGAAGGGGAGCACATTCACACACGGTAGGATTACGCTATCTGCAGGCAAGCAACTTCAAAGTAGTACACCAAGTCCTCGCTCCTCCTTACTGTGCCCAAGTGGACTTGGCATCCAATATGAAATAGATAAATTAAGTGGGTGTCACTCCACATTGTCTTTAAAAACTTAACTCTTCTGCTGCACAGGCCTAACAGGATTTTTCAAGGCATGCAGCAGTGTGTGTGACACTGTAGACTAGAGAACATTTCAGGACTATGGCACAGTTAAATGCAAGACAGATGTTAACAGCCATTTATTACAGCAGTGTCTTTGGGCCTGGCAGGAACTAGATTTCTCTGGAACTGATTCACCTAGACTTCTCAATCTTCAGGACTATTTCTCTGCAGTACTTTCTATTATTAAAGGACAGAGCTGAATATGAGAAAGAAAAACAAAACATCCATAACCCTACACCTTTCTCCTCAATTGTTTGCAAGATATTTGCTGTGTTTTCCATTGTAACTGGTCATGCAAGTTTACTTGTCATTGTTAGGCTTATCTTGCCACCACAGAATGTCAGCAGATACAAGAATCCAAATAATGTCTAAGTCTCAAAAAGGCAATGTCAATTTAATTAGAGAATATATCCCAACAATAAAACCGCCTTGTCCTTTGAAAGATCAAAAGGAGAAACCTAAGTAAAAAGCCCCAAACATCTGCTCACCTAATGGCTGATAAGCATACACACTCCCAACACAACCCTTCCTGGAAAAAGCCTGTATCTGGGTCTCCGGGAAGGCTGAAGAACCTGCTTATATAAATCTGTATTTAATTATTAGCACTAGGCACCAGAAATCTGCCAGGTTTCCACAGAACATGAAGAAACTGCATATATGAGTGCGTAACAAAGCAAAGTGCACCATGATGTGTGCCTGAGAGGCAGCTAGCGCTATGGCTTGCTCTAGCCCTAATTTACAAAAATCTTCAATGATGCTTTATTAACTAGTGCTTGACTTTTAAACAAGCCAAGTATAAAAAATTCTTGATAAAAAACTGGAATGCAGTTTCCCATTACCTGTGAAAACAAAAACAAGCTCCTAATGAGTTGTAATGAGCTCTTTTCAAAGTTGTTTAAGCAATTATTAACACAGATAGATACTTACTGAATTTCAGGGAATCTCACAGCTTAATTCCCAATGATATCAACAGAGGTTAGGCATGTAGGTACTAACTTTAGGCACTTAAATAGCTTTAAAATAGGACCCTAATCAGATAACAAAAAAGAAAGTTTTTTTTAAAAAAAGTTAAAGCAATAAAACCAGATCTTAATATTTTAATTTTGGGGGGGAAAAAAAAAAATCAAGGAAGAAGCCTCTGTATTTCAAATCTTTCATCAGTTCCTCTCCATGTTTGTTTCACCTCAGAAATGGCAGTACTGCAAGACTCTGGGATGGGATTTCCTTTAACAGTCCGTCTGGATACAATTCCAGTTACCTTCAGCTATAATTTACACAGCTCTTTTATCTACTTATTTTCTTACATAATTTATTTTTTAAGTGAGAATTTGTGTTTAGGTTGTTCTTCAGTATTCTTCTATCAGAATTTATACATCAGTGCTCTAGGCCTAGTCTACACTTACGATTTTCTCTAAAGTTTTGTCCAAGTTCAGCAACAGGTTTTGGCTAAATTTCCCCCTTGTTTCTAACACTATGCAATTCAAGCATTAACAGTAGCAAAAGCCTGAGGAAAAGTCTAACAAACACAGTTAGATGCACTCATGCTTCTAATGTTACCAACCTGCTCAGGCTAAATGACATCGTATTAAAATCCTATTTTATAAGTGTGTTGCCACTTTGATAAGAGCAACTCAAGTAGGGATAGAATAATATTTATGACTCTACATACTAGTTTTCTTTCTGTGCCAATACTTGCTGTTAGGTGTAATATTTACATTTTCGTAATTGAAACACTAGAAGACTACAGCAGTAGGCATTAAAATATACTTTCCTGCGTTTCACAACTATTCCATGCTGAAAGCTATAGATCAGCTGATCCTGCTTCTCAAAATCCAGAGGCAGCCCCTACTGACCTACATGTAACCCAAGGGTCTGAACAGGCAGAACAGGACTACCTAAAAACCTTTCAACTCCCTAGGAGGAGGGTGCAAAGACACCCTCTTTAAAACTTACCAGTGCCTCATTTCTCATGTCTTCTCTTTTGATCTTTTTCTTTTTTCTGTTTGCTTTTGAACCTGGTTCTTCAGCAAAGTCCTGTGGTACTTCTTTTTTTCTCCTCTTTTTCTTTTTACTGTCACAGAGCACATAATTACTATTGCATAATATCCTATCTACAACATCCCCTGTGAAACAATCAGCTTGCTTCATTTCACTCTCTTTGTTCTTTTCATGGCTTTCTAGTTTTGTTCTTTTTTGCCTTTTAGATGCACTGTCATTGTTTAAAGAAACTTTTGAATATCTTGTTTCCTCCTTCTCTTTCTGAATCTTCTTTTTCTTTTTCTTCTTGATGACTTCATTATTATCCTTGATGTTCTTCCTGCCTTTTTTTCCAGAAAGTTCTTCTTCCTTAGACTCAACTTCTTCTTGTGCTGGGAGATGCATATGGGGAACTCTGTGCCTATAGTCTTGATTATCTTCACATATTAAGGAAGAAACATCTTTGCTTCTCTTCTTCTTCATCTTGGTCTCTCTGATACTTTCAGAGTTCTCAACAGTGTCCTCTTCCTCTCTATTTGTCATTGTAATTTCCAGGGAATTCTTTCTTTGCCTTTTTCTGAAGTCACTCAATGCAATGGGACTATCAGGAACTTCATAGATGTTGTCCTGATTATCTGATAGTGGTAAAAAGAAGTCAGACTTCACTTTCTTTTTCTTTCTCTTCTTTCTTCTCACATAACTCTCCCCATCATTCTGGATAATATTGGTTCCATGGTTTTCATCCATAAAAGCTTTTTCTTGTGAAATGTATTTGTGTGCGTTTTTACGAACTTTTTCAGATTGTTCATGTTCACTGTCCTGGATATCCTCTAATGAAAAAGAAAAAATGCCTTTCTTCTTTTTTTTCTTAGTTACTTCACCATCCAATTCCAAATTCAAAGCGGTATTCTTTATGCTTTTTTTAAAAACAGATTCATTTTCCTTAGTACCATTTGTATGATGACTTGAAAGCTCCACATCACTACCCTGATTATTCTCCAGTGATAAGGGGCAATGACATTGGACTTTTTTTTTCTTCTTTTTGAGCATTTTAATTTGTTCCTCTGATTCTTCTCGAGGTTCTGAATCCAGATGGCCTTCTACATTCACACAGCTTTTTGAATGTGTTTCTTTCAGTAATTCAGAGCCAACCTTCTTTTTCTTGTTTTTCTTCTTCTTAATCTTCAGTTCTAATAGGTCTATATATTCATCATCTTTTAAATTTTCCTTTTTCCTTACCTTTGCTTTTGTCTCAAGCTGGTCGTCATCATCCTCAGTTTTAATGACAGCTTCAACATCTTTCCTCATTGTAATGATAGTCTGGCTACTACTACTTTTCACCTTTTTCTTCTTCTGTGTAGATTCCTCATAAACTTCTTTTCTCTTTTTCTTTATTACCATTCTAAAACATGAAATTAAGATGTTAGTGCACTGCTTCAATATGATGGTGCTAGCCCTAGTCTATTTGGTGTTCCTTTATTCTGAAACCATTCCGTATCTCTCACTGTTCCCAGCACTCATTTTCCAATTTCACAATCTGCTTCCTGTGATGAAAGGAACCAGAACTGCAGGACGAAAAACATAGCCCACTGGAATGGCCAAGGGATGATTTTCCTGTCTTGTTCTTTAGTGCTGTCCTAGTTAGTTTCTAACTTTCTATTTGTCTTTTTGACAGCTGCTGAGCATGCCATTTTCAGAGAAACGTCTGCCCTCTAAAGATCTTTCCTAAGTGACAAAACATATACTTATCAATTGTATATAGATGTATAGTTAAGGTGATTTTCCACATATGTATGCCTTTTCACTTATTTAACACTTAACTTCCCATTACTATTGTCCACTTAGCGTTACAAGATCCTTGCAAGGCACTTATTACCCTGAATTTGTTTCTGTTTGCAATTTCTCGTCCTTGCTATCCGTTTCTTTTCTCGGGACATTTATGCCCATGAGCAGGTCACAGCAGAGATGCCTTTGGAACCCATCTAGTGACATCCCTTCCCTTTGCGGAGAAACCTATTTATTCCTACTTGGTTTCCCATCTTTTAATCAACATCTAATCCACATGATTTAAGCCCCTCTTGTATGGCGCCCCATTAAAATCCTTTTAAAAATATATCTAAGTATACCATAATATACCTGCATCCACTATATGCCTGCTTGTCAGGGCTCTCAAATAAAGCCAGCAGACGTTCGGGGCCGCCGCCCGCCCCTCCTGCCAGGCTGTGCCGGGGGAGCGGGGCTGGGCCGCAACCCCCGCGGCTGGGACCGCCGGCCGAACCTCATTTCAGGCGACGCGCGGGGCGAGGCGAGGCGGAGCCGCCCCCCGTCCCGCTCCCCTTCGGCCCCCGGTAGATGGAAGGAGCGGAGGGCGGCGGCCACACCTCGCTTCCGCCCCGCACCGGCACCGCCCGGCCTCGCCACGGCGGCCGCCCCGGGGTCGCTCCGGGAGCGGCTCCGCCGCGCAGGCCTGGCCTGACCTGGCCCGGCCCGGCCCAGCCCGCCGCCGCTTACCTGCCGCGGCCCACGTGCAGCGCGCCCCGCCCCGCCGCCCCGGAAGGGGAACGGGAACGGGAAGGGGAACGGAAGGGGAGAGGGAGCGGCGGCAGCGCCCGCCCCGCCACGGGATTGGCGGAGGGGTTGCCGCAGCAACGCGGGGCGGCATGGCGGTGGCGGGCGGGCGGGCGCCGGGCCTCTGGGAGCAGGTCTGCGCAGGTGGGAGCGTCTGCTCCGCCGCTGGCGGCCCCCGGGGGGATGCGGGCCCCGGCCCTGACCACCCCCCGCCGCCCGGGGAGAGGCCCCCGGCGTCGGCCTTCGCCTCGGTCACTCGGGTGCTTCTGGGCCGCTCCGCGTCGCTGCCTGGGCCAGGGCCAAGGCCAAGGCCAAGGCCAAGGCCAGGGCCGGGGGTTTCAGCCCCGCCGTTGGCGCGCCCGTTCCCGTGTCGGTGCCGTGGAGCCGGCCCCGCGGAGGTGGTGGCAGCAGCACCTGCTTCGAGGGGGGCTAAAAACCCCCACTGCTCACTGCTGAGAGCGAGTTCAAAAGCGTTTCTGCTCACCAGTGTTACCTTACTTTTGATTGTCGTGATCTTATGACAGGAGCGTACCTTTGCACATGTCTCTGCTGCCACTAGGGCCAAAAGTACCCACCTTACTGCAGTAGCGTCCTGGCCTCGGTGCGGTCATCTGCACCCTATGTGGTGGCAGCTTTGTGGGTTGTCCCAGTGACAGATTATTGCTCTTGGAAAGCAGAGAGGTGACAATTTTGTTGCTATAATGCAAGTTACGTGAATACAATACTTAGTTATCAGAGTCCAATTCTAATAGCAGAATTCTTAATCTTCCTAAAATCTGAGTGCACTGAGACCGATTGCAAAGCAGAGAGACTGTCACTGCAGTTTTGTGGTGCCCAAATGGGGGGTTCTCCTCGCTTAGTACTTTATCATGCCTTAAAGTAGGTATTTTGTGTTAAAATGGCCATTTTTAATGTAGGAATAATGTTGCTTATATTAACAATTCAGCTGAGGCATCTGTACTCCATGTAGAAGTAATGATGCCAGTAAATCTGCTTACAGGGGTAGAATGGTAAACCTACTGGGTTTGGCTGTAAGGCTTTTCTGTATTGTGTAATCTGTGTTTTGTTGTTTTGTTTTGGTTTTTTTTTTTTTAATATCAGATTCATTGTCCTCCTTTATTTTTCTTAGCCTGATTTACTCAGTAATCTATGTGGGTCATATACTGCTTTTGCCTTTTTTTTTTTTGTTTTGAAAGTGGAGACAATAATACTTAGCAATGGCCTGGCGATTTAATTGCTTATGGAGGAATTCAAGTGGAAAAGCACTATTGCATACTACTAAAAACAATGGCTAATTCTGTGCAAGCATCTGCATTTTACTTACATTAAAATATTTCAAATTACTATTTTGGTTTAAAATCTTTTTCCCAAATTTAGTTCACTGAGACCTTGAACTTGACTAAAAGCCAAGACGAGGTTCTAAAGTTCTCATTTGTTTTAAAACATTAGATTTAATGTTAAATATTTGTTGTATACTAATTTTTGTTCTTTCAAACTGGAATAAGTACCTTTAGAAAGTAATGTTTGTTTAGGAGAAAAATGAGTATGTTTTTAAAGTCTTCTGGATAAATATTGCACTTCTTTTTACTTTTAGAGTATGAAGCAGAACAGCCTCAATTTCCAGATGTTCCTGAATCAAAATGTGGATCTGTGAGTATCATTCAAGTAAAAAGATCTGCATAAGGCTGGTTTTAAAAGATTTCAAATAACTAAATGGGAAAATTAGGTACCCACAGAATAGACTCATTCATGAAATGAAAGCAAAACTACATTTTGCAAACAACTTTTGTGAATCAATAAATGTAATATTCTAAATCATTGCTTTTATCTAAAGCAACTTGGGTAGCACTATCCTAAAATTAGATTACCAGCTGTGTTTGGTTTGTACATCTCGCTGTCTTTTTTTTTCTTTGACTGTCTGCTTCACAGGCAGGACTCTGAAGTGTCCAAGGATCTTCTTTGGGTGGTGTTGCAAGCAGACAGAGCACTGAAATATGCAGGAGAGGGGAGCAAGCACAGCAAGGGAGTTTTCACCTGTATGATAGGTCACTTAGATGTGGCAGTTGAAACCAGTGGAATTAAACCTGACCAAAGTTGTTTGAAGTCTTACTTTGACCAAATAAATTCAGTCTAGAAAGACTTGTTTGGTAGACATAAAAACTCAAGAAAGACAAACCACTTTAAATCTTTGTCCCCAGTGGTTGCAGGAGCAGCAAAATGAATTGTTTTGGGCATCACATACAGAATTAACTTCCATTTAAATCAGGCATTTGTGTAGATGTTTTAGCTTATTATTCGGTATTTAGGTTACTTTGTTATTTTAAAACTGCCTTAAGATGTTGTAGTTTAAACTGACAGTTGGTCTGATTAGACCTATCCTGTTTTCCCAAATGAAACTGGCTCCATTACAGGCTGTTAATAAATTTGAGTGGTGACCTCTGCTTGGGGTATTAGTCTGGGCATAATATACTGATATGTTTGAGCATCAGAATAAAATAATATACCTTTTTATGTTGATGCACTTTATTTTAATTTCCAAAAGGATCTTTTTTTTTTAAATCTTGCATGTGTTAAAAAGGAGTCTGTCTGCGGTTATTGATGTGCAGTGTATTAAAAATGTAGTGGCCTGATCCCCCCACCTGCTTTTCAGTAGCTCATAAAGCCAACTGAATTTTAAAGTGAAACTGTTTAGATGACATAGTTTTCATAACACATTTTTATAGCAAACTGTAATGGTGGTGCATTCTTGGGGATAAAAGGGTCTATCTGCCTTTCTATAACAGGTGTTGCTCAGTGTCTGTTAGAAGTATTCTTCTGGATCAGTGTAACAGTTCCTGTACTCCTAAAAAACATATGTAAAATTATGGACTCTGTTTTTTCATGGTATCCATAACTGTTTCTGTATGTGGAAACTTAACATTTGGATTTGCATCTGCTCTGAATATATCTGTTTGTGCTTTGTTTAGAAGGAAAGTTTATATTATTAAAAAGGTGAGTGTCAGGACTTCTGAACAATACAGAAACAAATTTATAAGCTTCTGAGTGGAAAAATACTTATTCAGAAAATATTGCAAATTTTAATTTTCAAACAATTACTATTTCTTACAATGACTAAAACATTTTAAAAATATTTTTAAAGTTGTGAAGTCTCACCATATTCTCTTAAAAGCAGTCACACACCTTCTGCTAGGTTTGGATCTTTTTATTGTCCTGGAAACAATAATTTTTTAAAGTGTAATTTTTTTTTTTCAACAGTACTCAGAAAATACTGAAGCAATTTAATAATTGAATGGGAATTTATAATTCCATATTCTTTTAAATGACCTTATAATTTTTCCTGTTGAATTGGCCTCAATATTTTTTTACAGTCTGATTGGGGGTATTTATGTAGGTTACATTTATCTTGAACAGGTGTCTTTGGAAGCAGGAATATTGCAGCCGTCACGAATGGAACAATTTTATGCAGCTGATACTCTTTTCCAACAGTTGCTTCCCATACCCGAGACAGCCCCCTTTCCAGAACCACCTGATCCAAAAACGTGTAAGTAGGGGCATACTATCTTGAACCCTGTTGTGATTATTTTTCTAGTATTTGGCAAGGGTTTGTCATTTGTTGAATTTAAAGTGTTGACAGCTACAACACCTTTTCTTCAGTGGAATTTCCAAATTTAGTTCTCTGGTCTGTAAACAGGGAGCCAGCTTGGCCACTTGGTCAATGGGAGAAAGCTGAAATGGTTCATGACAGATCAGTAGCATTGTCTAGGTGTTAAGGTAGTTCTGTTCTCTTTTGAATAAGTGACTTTTCATTTAGCCACTTAAATCAGAGAAAGGCAAGAATTTCTTCTTCTAATTTCGTAATGTAAAACTGAGATCAATAGACTAGACAATTGAGTTTGAAAACTTCTTTCAAAATATTATCTTTGCCTGGCTGATTACAAACTAGAATGGAAACAGCTCTAAAGTTTTGTCCTTCCATTTTTATCAATTTCTATACTTTATAAAATTTACCAAGTAGCAATGTATTTTTATTATGCATTTTATCCCTCCTTTTTGTCTTCCATTCATTCTTGCTCATTAGGAGTTCCTGTTGCTAGTCAGAAGCAGTGTTACCCTTGGCTTTTATATATATGGTGTCCTTCCAATTATGAACATTTTCTGGCTGAATATGAACCAATTAAAGGTACAAAGCAGAGAATAAATTCAGTGTTTTGTCTGTGTTGCCAAAAGCGAACACTTCTGTGACTTCTCATTTAAAACTAAGTCTGACATCTCTGAGGCACACTGTAGTTTGCAGTTTTGATGCACCTTCACTCTGAAAATCACTCAAGTTGATGTTGTCTTGGCTGAAGAGAAGTGAAGATAGAGCCATGGCTGTATCTGAACTGAATGAATCTGTTTAGTTCAATCTATGCTGCTGTTGATAAAATGCCTGATACTTTGTTTATGGTTTCTTATGTTTGTCTTTTTGTGAAATCTAAGTGCTTACCTGTAGGTGAAGGCTGTACTGTTTTGTTCAGGTTCTCCTCAAGAATACTTAGAGTATTACATATTTCCAGTACTCTTACCTGGAATGGCTGAACTTCTGCATCGAGCAAAGAAGGAAAAGTGTTTTGAGGTTAGTTTTTAGTTTTCAGTTCAAATCATTGGCAGGAAGTTACAACCTTTTATTTCACAGGCTGTATTTATTTGATCTTCTGAAAGAAAACCAACCACGATATGAAATAACGTATCATGAGTTGTTTTGGATCTGTCTTGAATGTTGTTTTCTCCAGTAATTCAGAACAGATTGCATACTACACACACTTAATCATGAGAATCTCTAACTCACAACGAATCCTCCTTAAATATCCAGTTGTATCTGTCCTGAATAGTGTTGTATTTTAGAGAAATGGGTTTGCTTTCAGATTAATACGCATCACTCATTCAACAATGACGTAAAGAATTTAATTTTACTTCATTACTCTATTATTTTTGCTGGGATGGCATGCAAATAGACATACCTTCTGTGTAAATTTCATTTAAGTGGAAAGCAGGGTATTCAGCATTAATGAGCTTATAAAAAATGTACATTAAAAAAATCATTGTTTGCTACATATATTTTTTTAAATTTGTTTTCAGTGTATGGGTGCATAAACGTATTTGGAGAGGCATTCCTCATTCTATATAGAGAATGCTTAAAAAAGCATTAGAAATGGTGCAAAATAAATCTCATTGTATCACCATAGCTTAAGTCGTAGACCCCCAGCAATAGATTAGGTTCTGGGAGTTGTGGGGTTTTCCCTAATTTCTGCTATTTTATCCAACCATGGAAGTAATTTTCTATTTCTTTCCTACTTTTTGTCTGCCATCCATACTTTCCAGTGCAAAACTTCTCTATATTTTTATGCCTGCATCTGATCCTCCTATTTGCAGCTTGATAATATAAAGAGCAATTAATATAAATGATAATGAATGTATCTCCTTTTTTGTACATGATGCACATCTGAGGAATACAGTTTGTGCTCTTATGGAGATAGATTAAAATGATAGTGAAGTGAGGAGGACTTTGTATTACTAGTGGGTTATTAATCATTTTAGGTCTTGATCCACTGCCTCTCCAACTACTGACATTGACTTCCTGTTATAGGCATGTGTATATATAACAGAGATGTGGAACGATTTGTAAAAATTATGTATATGCTATTTGCCACTGACCTATACATGTCTGGCACAGCCAAAAATACACAAAGCTTACCAAGCTTGAATTCGGGACACCCCAAGCTTGCATTTCAAATCCAAATCTGTACATTTAATAACAGTAAATTATTTACATTTTTGCTCAGTCTTTATAAGATTTGTGTGTGTCTATAAACTGATTGATTTATATATGTGTATATTTATAATCTGTGATTAATACAGGTAGAATAGGAAAATGGTTCGTTTACATGTCATTATGGTGTGATATCTCTGTACATCACATTTACATTACCTAGCCAAGAACAAATTGAACACGTATATTATTCATCACACTTTTAATGAAATTTATATTGATTAGTTGGGTTTTTTTAAAGGAAGCACATGACAAAGGAGAAAGACATGCCTTACAGCTGGCTTAAAATACAGTCCTTGATAGATGTTACATGTTTCTGAAGGCAGTAAAACAGCACTTAATACAAAAATATAAGAATTCTTAGAAATATTTCAGTTTCAAACTCAGGACAAATCTAAGGTTACTTCATATATTTTTAATCTGAGAAATTTTGCAGAACTTCAGTGGTATATAGATTAGAAAGTATCTGTTCTGAAAATGGATTTTGTATGGATCTGTGTGTTGCTTTATAGTACACCAATAAAACCAACTATTTTGTAATGTACAGAAACTTCATTAAAATGAGCACATCTTATCAAAAGACACTAAGTGATTTTTGTTGTTATATAGAGAGATATCATGCTATTGGGGGAGGAAGTTTACGAAAGCAAGCTTGTGTCAGATGATCGTTTTCCACTGTGACATAATTTTTTTCTCCTTTTGAACAATAACTAGTAAAACAATAGCTCTTTATGCGTGCCATATAACTGAATATTGGTGTTCTTTTCCATTACTGTCCAGGTGCTTGTACTTGGACGTTCTGTTTCCTTATCTGACTTAAATATGTAATTTCTAATTATACTTTTGTTTCAAAAGAAATGTGTTGTTCTGTGTGGATTTGGAGGAAAAAACATGCTATAATTTGCATTAAAATGGTTAATGCCATAACTGGAACAGATTTTTAGGATCAAAGCCAGTCTTTGGCAACCCAGCAAAGGTTAGGGAGAGGGAAAAAGGATCCTGTGATAAACACACCAGAAGATAACTTCAAAAAATAGTAAGAGAACAATGAGTAGAAAGATGCATGGAATTCGTGAGAGAACAGGAGAGAAGCATGATTAATTGTCATTAAGCTAACTGAAATCATGAAAGATGAGAATAGAATAGTGGGTTTGAATTTTGGCTAGACATGAGTCATTAAAGCCTGTAAAGGGCAGCTCCAATCGAATAAACCAGTGGAAGATAAATGGAAGAAGTGCTGGAAGAAAGGGAGGAACAATCGAACTGACTGCAGTCAATGTTGAATGAGCCTGGGAGAAGAGAGAGGTAATTGCAAGAGACAATGAAGAGTGAGTTTTTCATGAGAAGAACTAAAGGTTTTCATGTTTTGAATGGAAATGAATGAGAAGAGAATGAAAAATTAAATAGGAAAGTCATTTAACAATTGAAATGGGGGTAAAGGAGATCAGATCATGGGACCAACAGAGGGATTCAGGGAATAGATCAGAAAAGACACATCTGCATCCATGTCTGGAAAAGAAGGACTGTGGAGTCAGATGGGAAAGTCAGGAAAGGGAAACAGCTGTGCTGAAAGTAGTCATTTACGTAGGAAAGAAATCGGCAGGATTTTATTTGGAAGGTGATATAGAAACAACTTAAACATTTAATTTAAAATAGGGTGTCTTGCATTATGTAGTGCATATGAAAAATCTGAAAAGCGAAAACCTAGAAAAACCACCAGCTGCTAGATATATTTGCAGACTTCAAACTGACATAAATGTAAGCACAGTCTGAAGAAGCTTTGTTTTTAAATTAGAGATGAAAGAAACCTATTCTCCTATTCCTATGCTGTATTTTTTTCCCTACAATAAGTTCTCCTGTGCTTTACCCTGCCTGCTGTCAAACGTCTCCAGGGTAAAGACTATTTTCTTAAATCTTCTCTCATGAGAACTGAGTAATGCATTAATTTTTCAGCATTAAAACTGATCAATGTTTAAATGTTTTTATTAGCATAACTCTGATTTTTCTTTCTGCTTATCGATCACAGAAGGAGGATGCTGTATCAGATTCTGTAGTGGAATATATTATATTTAAAAGTATGATGGATGAGGGAAAGTGATAGGAAGAAGGTTTCCTAATGACTTTGCCATCTCCTGCTCACCAGTATTTTTGCATTATTACCGAACACGTCCTATTTAAACTGAAAAATGGAAAATGAATTCTGAATAGTTTATAAACACATCTGCAGGTTAACAATGCACATTGTGCAGATATTTCCTGTGTTTATCCTGATTCGTGCAGCATAGGAGGAATGTGTCAAAGGCAGGTCAATTTGTGTAATTTTTTCCCTTCTATAAATGTTGACTGCTGTGCAACTAATGATTTCATTCACTAGCAAATGGAACTGTTTCCCAGAAAAAAAAAAAAAAAAAAAAACAAAAGAAAAAAATACTCAGCTTGACTAAATTCTTCCCTGATAAGTTGGCTGGATCTAACAAGGATAAAGTGAGATGAATTTGATTCCTTTGGTGATAACTGTTTTGACAACACTGTTCTGATCTTTTTTTCCTGTTGCAAAGGAAAAGCAATTTTCTTCAAACAGATTAAATTACAACTGCTAGATTAAATTGAATTTTGTTGTCAAAGTATAGAATTTATTCTCTGAAACAGTTCACTAAGTAATGGGACCCAGTTTCATACTGTGATTGAAAGTAGCTGTACAAAGACAATCAGACTCTGCTATTTGTTTTCAGATTCTGTTCAAGTCAAAATTTGTCCATTTCACTTCTAAAATGACCTGCAGAAAGCTCTCCAGTTAAAGTGTTGGTCTGTTAAAGCTTAAATGTTTGGCTTCTTGAACAGTATCTAGTATTAGCATGACAAGTGTGAAAATTCCTTAAGGAGATGTGTTTCTTCACAGCCAAGCACTCTAATGGAGTGCAGTATGAACCCCAAAGCTTGTGTTGTCATGAAACAGATCATAAAGGCACATGGCATTCAGGACTGATAAGTATTTTGCAATGTTCTCCTTTTTTATTTCTTCTGATTTTTTTTTTTTTTTTAAAGAAGTTCTCTTTCTTTTCTGTGGGAGTCAGACTCTGTGTCTACCAAGGACGAGATTCACTTAGAAAAGTAAAGGCTTTCCTGCGTATCACCTAGGAATGCCATGCAGTCTAGCTCTAAACTTCACATCTGTCATCCCCTGACTACTTGACTACCCTGTATTCTTCACTATGGAGTCAGCATGTCAAATAACATTCCCTTTCCACTTCACCTGACCCCCAAGTTATGAAATTATGCTATATGCTAATACCCTAAACTTTGAAAGAATTATGCCATGTAGAGCACTTGTTTTCTGCCACTCTGTTCACGTCCTCCAGTCTTTTTTGTATTATATTCTTGCAGTACAGGGGGAAACGTGGATGGTGAGGATAATACATAGAATAAAGTCATCCATCATGCCCTAAATTTCCAACTATGTATCTATTGTATTTTTCTTAGCAAGCAGTAGTAGTAGTACCTTAATTTCTTACACTTTAATCAAGACTCCAACCTCTTTCATGACACTTAGCAGTTTCACAAATGTATTTGACCAGTGTGAATTGTTTTCCTAAAAAGTAATAGTTGCAGTTGATCTCCCATTTGACAGGGTAAGTATTACTTTCTGGATGGGAGCTAGACTTTCTCCTAACTAAACAGCTGCTATTTTGATAAAGTACTCAGTGTCTGTGTTCTGCAGGGGCTTAATGTCTTTTAGTGCTCACTCTCTGGCTGTGTACGTTCCATAACACATCTTGTGTAAGAGGCATTCAGAAGATATACTAGCCAAGCTCTTCTGTTATTCCAGCCAGAAGTCTACATTATATTCTCCACATCATAGTTTCTCTGATTTGTGAAAAGCAGAACAAGCATCTGTACTCTTTTGTACATTCAATCTGTGAAGATTGAATGCGGAGAGAAAAACCCTAAGAAAAGGAGGGCCCTAACCATTTCTGTATTAATCAAAATTAAAAGGATGAATTTTGAATTTGAAATGTGGTGTTCACCTAAACAGGTACTGGCTGCATAAGTGATTATTGATAACCGACTGCAAGACATTTTGCAAAATTCTTGGTGGTGGTCAAGAAGTCTTAGGATTGAGAGCAAAGAGCACAACTGTTTTGTTCTGAAGCTCCAGATTTTGAACTTTTTACCTGATTCTCGGTAATGTCCAAGGTATCTGTGGCATATATGCCTTGTTTCTGCCTTTCTGGACTATTCAACAGACAATTTTATCTGAGCAACCATACAATATTCTGGTGTGTGTGTATTTCTCAGTATGCACAATACCTTCAAGCTGGTTCCATGCAGGAGGAAACAATATTCCATCAGTGTTCCTTCTGTGCCTTGGAAGTTATGAAGTATTCTAAGTATGGTAATAGAACTTTGTACACAACTGCAAGTAATTTACAACATATTACCATATATGAGTTCTGTTAATTTATTTGTGGTGAGATTGCCACTTAGAACACCATTCAGAGATATTTGTTATAGCTATACTGCAGCAAATATCAAGATAGTATATGTCAAATTTTCTCACTCATTTTTTTTGACATGACTTGAAAGCATTCCACAAAATTTCTAAAATTTCGGCAGAGCCACTGACTGTTGGCAATAGCAATATTAAAGTAGACAGAGTAATGTACAATATATTTTATTTAGTAAAAGCAGTCAATTTAGTTTCTGTTCCTCTCCAGTAGTAAAAACATGTGACCAATCCAAAGATAATAAATAATTTGAAACTATTTTCTATCTTTAGAGAAAAAGGACCAAATTTATTGCCTGTGATTTCTTAACTGAGTGGTTATACAAGTAAGTAAATTAACAGTGTCTTTTACTATTAATTATGTTCAATGATTCAAAGGCATTAATTCGCAAATAGACTAGCTGGAATTTAAATTAATATCAGTTATTTTCTTTTTTTTTTCTCTTTTTATCAGCAAGAACCCAAAGAGGAAAGATGAATCATTCACAGAATTCTTTTCCATTCCTTTTGTTAATGACTGGCTAAAGGACCAGTAAGTTATTGCAGTACTCGGAGCAACCTTTTCTCCTTTTATTCTTTTTCCCTTGCTATTCCAAAAAAGTAGTGGACCTTTGATGCGTTGCAATTGTGCCCTCTAAATGCCCTTTACTGTGTGCAACAAAGAACTATGTGATGCTTTTTAACTTGGTAGTGTGTTAGTTACGAGGTATTTTGTACCAGAATTGCTCACAGAGAAATCAGTTTAGAATTCTTAAACATTTTCACTGTAGAGTGCAGGGCATTTGAATAGTCTGGTAGTATTGTGAATATTACTGTACTAAGGAGCAAAGCAGTGTTTTCAATGTCATTTCCTACTATGGATATGTTAGAGGATATACAGTCTAGAAATTCTTCCTCTAACTAAAAGCAACTGTTTTAAAAATACCTGTAATAATCCCTGGTGTCAGCATGCATTTCTGCAGACATTTATGACTTTGCATCTGAGAGTTGAACACCTGTTTTGGCAGCCTCAATCATATATTCCTTTTTATTCCTGTAGAACCAAGCTTCACAGTAGTTTTGAAAGAAATGTTACTGTCCCTTAGCCTGCGGTTTGTTTTACAGTGTAGGTGTTGTATGAGGAAAGAAGAAAAGTAAAGCGATAGTCCACAGTGAGAGAATAAGAAAATTACAGTAGTCAGATTTTAAAGAAAATTTTCCATTTGAAGACTTAATTGGAGGCTAGGTTGGTGGTTGGTGAAAACTTGGAGATTAGTATCTTTGTAGATACGTTTACTTCATTACACTATGTAAGTGGAGATTGAGCTTTCTTGAACTCTTGTCATGTGAAACTTAGAACGCTTGAGTAACTCATCCAACAAGAGGAAAGCTCCTTGACATTCACGGGTCTTTGGAGACAAGCTGGTGATTGTGGCATGAACAGTTAACTTTGACTATCTTAGAGGTAGTCATGTGGTCAGAGTTGTGTAGGAAGTTCCTGCAGTAAAAGACGGACATCTTCATAGTGATCCATTTCATGGCAACTCTGATATATTCAGGTACCTGGTACTGCATCATACTGCCCAGCCGCTGTTGTTCAAACCTACCACTGGTGGTTCACTTCTAACAGTTTCCTTCTGTAGATAACTAGGTCTTGCCAACAAGATTCCTGTTTAAGGGAGTGAATTTTGTAGTTTGGAAACTGAGTATGATCTGCACCAAGGTTGTCATCCTCATTCTCAAGCATGTTGAAGAGCCATTGGTTAGTAAGACCATTTTGATACCGCTAAATTGTGAGGATGGATATTTTGCTCAAGATAAATAACTAAGATCACAGTTTTACAAATGTTTATTTTGGAAATAAAGCTGACCTAAATGTTTCCCTGCTTTCTCCTGTTCTCCGCCCCAGCCTCCTTGCAGGCAACCTAATATCACCCTTTCTATTTGGTATGATGCTTGGTTATTCAGATCAGGGATCTCCTCCAAGTTAGAGATGTCTCTGCCAAAATGTGAGAGGAGGATTTGTATAGCTATTTAAAATATAGATAATTTCTCCAATCTGGTTCACCTGGGAGCCCGACAAACCTTTGTATTGGCACAAACAAAGTATTAAAATGGAGGGCTCAGGACAAGGTGAAGAGAACAAATGAGTTGGTAAGATATAGAGGTGGTGGCAGGAACTGCTTAAGTCAGCTTTGCCAACAAGAAAAATACTCTGTGGAATCGCAGCCTGAATGACTCATAGTTTCTGTTAGTACTTGTGCTCCTAAATAATGTAGTGACAGCTTTGCAAGGACACTGAAGTGTCAAAGTCCTACTTAAATTGATACACACTTGATCTTAAATCCTCTAAACAAGTAGGCCTTTGAAAAGAATAATTATTAAAACCCAACTTTTTGTGAACTTATCTTAAAATTACAGATTTCTTAACAAATATTGCTTATGAAGTAAGCATTATTAGAGAAAAGTGAAAGATTACAATATTAAATAAGAATAAAAATGAGATAATTTATTATTATGTCCTTCTGGTTATGTCATAAGTAGTTTAGTATTACATGCTTCCAGATATCACATGTAAAATGTAATTGATTCTATGCTTTCTATTGTAATTTCCATTTTTATTTGTAAAGGAGTTTTCATTTTTTATCAGGATGTATGAATATATACAGACAATACGCTAAAAAGTGCTGGTCAAATTTTGATGGGAAACATCATTATCCCAACCGTTTAGATAGTATGATAAGGAAAAAGAAGTAAAAAGTGTTGCTGCAAATTTAAGGGGTAAACTCTTGTGTTGCTTTTTCAGTTACTTGTCTAAATTTGGGAAACATTCTTGGAAGGTCTGTTAAATAGGAATACATTTCTATACTGTGTTAAAATAGGGTTTATCAGTGGAAAGTGGTCTTCATGCTTAATTAAAAAAAAAAAAAAGGAAAAAAATCCAGAGGAATAAATTTTTGTTCTATCAAAGATACAGCTTTTTTTAATGTATTCCATACTTGAGTATGACTTCTTTGGCTCTCCTCCAGTGCCTCCAGTTTTTTCTTTGAAGCTCAATTTTTTTTTAAGAATAATCAAAGCCACAGTCTTATGAGCCTCACTCTCTGTATGATGTTTCTAAATGAGATCTTGCAGCCTTCTTTTCCTTTATAAGGAGCCCCAAATGCTGCATTGGTTTCCAGAATTTTAAATGCAAACATTGTACGTTCAGAAGCTGGTTACTGTAGGTGAAGGAGTAAAATCAGAATTTGTTTCCACCTTTAGTATTTATAATAATTGCTATGGCATCAGTAAATAAAAGCCTCAGTGTAGTTACCTTGTCTTCCACTGGTTTCTCTGTATTACCAGTAGCAATGACAAAATATTCTATCCCTTGGGAATCCTTGATTCCTGAAGCAGATTTCAAATGCAATAGAAGGAGCAGCCTCAGCACTGTCTGGTAATCTACATTTCGTGTCCAGGAGAATACAAAACATTTCTGTTTTCTTAAAGGATAGCTGTACCTTTCAGTGGACAGGAAAATGGAGTTTTAACGAGAAACTAACAGAAGTTTTTGGACGCTTGCTGAGTTACTTGCTGATGTCCCTATTCCTACATTCAAGACTGCTGATATAACCAAGTAAAGTAAATAGAATTAAGGCCTTGAATGTTTTGTACTCCTATAAATATGCTAATGAGCAACACAGTTGCCTTTTGTCAGCATTTTCTAGTGGTGTCTCTGGTTGAATAGCAGTGAAGCTAATCGCAAGTAATCAAGCTGTATGTACTGAATCAGGAACAGGGAAAGAGTATGATCTGTGTTTGTGCCCTAATCCCCCTTGAATTTTACTTTTCTGGCATAGATAGGCTGACTCTTTATTCTGAGCGTTATGGGAGTATCACTACCCAACCTTCATTAGCATGTTAGTGAAAAAAGTATGAAGAAAACAATAAAAAGAAGCTCCACTGCTCTGAAAAATACTGATACCATAAAAGCCTACTGTCACATTAATTTAATAATATGACAGTATTGTTCAAGTTCACCTTCAACCCTTACATTCAATGAAAGAGAATAGTATATGAATTTAGGTTAGGAATAAGCTGAAGTATTTTCCTGGCTGTTGAAGATCAGACTTTGTATGCATATTTTACAGGGATTACAGGAACTGAAGATGTATTTTATAAATAAACATTAATTCACAATAATTTATTTTTCTTATTTTCTGTATAGAGGTATTTACCTGATGCTAAGTTCATGAGGACACATTTATTGGGTTTAATCGATCTGTGTGTTCCAAAACAAATATGAAGGTACAGGATAAATACATTTATCATGGCTTTAATGAAGTTGACAGCTAAGATGTGTGTGTATATATATATGTCTATAAATGATTAGTAAATCTGAAGTAGTGGCTTTTTGCCAAATATCTGTATATGTGTATATATATATACATTGAATATTTTTTCTCCCTCATCCCCCAATACTCTAATTAGGTGAAGTCTGTTGGTCTCAGCTGCCTTTACAGTTGACTTCATTGTCAGTTCTCAGATGGCCAATAGGGATAATTTTGCATGGATGGCTGATTTCTTTCTTTCCATAGTGTTTCTACAATTTCTACAGGCTTTTCTTTCTGCACACTGCTATATTTCACTTGCTTCTATCTAAACCAGCCACATTTAGAGTATATTTGATTTGCATTAAGTTTTTTCTTTCATTTTCTTTAATAATCTGAGCTTTAATTTTTTTTTTTCGGGGGGGGGGGCGGGGAGGGGAGAGGGATAATGAGCAACACATTTAATTGCAATAACAGAAGAGTCCAACAGATATCTGTATGGATGTTATTCTATGTGGATCCAAGTAAAGAACTGCCATTCCAGTAATGTGGCAGAATTCAAGTTAATGAAGGAGAAATTTTTTACTTAAAAAAGTACAACTATGTTGGAAAATTGCACAAAGTTTATGTATAAAATATTTATATTGTGTAATGGTGTTTTATGACATTGAAGTTTTATAGCTACAAATCCTAATGCAGTGTTGAAACTTGCCTTAATTTCTGTAAAGATTTTCAAAAAGGGAATGAGAAAATTGAAAATGAGTTAGTGGTTTGTGACATCTTCCTGATATTGCTGTTAGAGCACTAATTGGAGGCTGTTTTTGCTGCTGTTACTTACGTTTAGAGGATATGAGGTCTGATCTAAAATACACAAACATAGATGGAAATTTCCCCATTGACATGAGTGGACTTTGGAATAGGTCCATGTTTGGTTTCCTTCAGCCTAGGACCACAAACAGTCTTAGAGAATCCATAAATACTGGTTCTATGAAAGAGAAAACTGAGGTAACACATTGTGACTTGCAAAGTATGTAGCAAGTATATAAGCATTGAAGGAGGAATGAGTTTTATCAATAAAACGGGTAGGTCCTCTCCAAGTGGAGAGCATATTAAGAGGGAAAAAAGGCACTATAGTTTTCAAACAGAACTTAAGACAAAAGATACTTTCTCATTATTAAGACTTGCTGTGCTTCCTCTAATTCCTCCTGCAAGCTTGTTAGCATTCACCTGTTCTGCCCCATTCTCCTGTCCATTATATGACCGCCTCCCCACTTAACAACTTTCTCTATGTTAGTTTCACACTTTTCTTTTTATCATGTATTTTCTTCATTCTAAATAGGTAAATAACTATATAAATAGTTTGTATGCGTTAACAGTTGTATGCATATTATCACTATGACCACTTTGATAATACTTCTGAGTATCTTTTTATAGTTTTATTATACTGTAATATTTTGCATCATATTTTGTGGGGGGGGTTGTTTTGTTTGTTTTCTTTTTTTTTAGAATTGTGGCTGAGACAGAAATGAAACAGGAAATTTAAAAGTGAAATGTCTTGTTTGTTCACAGCCTATAGCCTTTATATTTGAGGATATTCAAAACACAAAAGTGTATTTAAAAGACCAGCGAAGGAGTAGAAGGTGCAGAGAATGGAAGGGGAAAAAAGAGTCAAAATATATTACATTTTATTCTTTATTTAGCTATTGACAGTATCAAGGAGCTTTTATTTGGAGAAGGTGATAGAGCAGAAGAGTTCAGACAGGTGGCATGAGTCAGAGTTCAAAATTCTGCTTGTTTGCACTTCCTTTCTTCAGAAGATTAGATTATTCCCACATTCACAGTCCTTCAAAAGTGTACCCTCTGTATAATGCACAAAAATGTTCTATATTGTAAGGATTTTTTTTCTCCCAATACTTTTCTCTTATTCTAGTACATTTAGATTACTGCAAAAGAAAACTGGTAGTTAGTAACGTATTTCTGACTGTTGAATAGTTGAATTAATACTAACTGTTAAAAAGAAAGCTTCGCACTCAGTTTGACCTGTGAAAATGTTCCAGTGTGTTTTTGTCAAGTGTCTGTGGGAATATTTCCCTCTAATCCTGTGAAGCTCATACAATAATAGTGTAGTATATGATTAACATATCTAATTTGTTTTAAATAGCAGGTCAGATAAGTCAGGACTTCAGTGTCTGATTGTTTATGAACAATCTTTTTCCTGCTTTTGGGCTAAATGATCCTAATAGTATCTATAAGCAGAGATTTTTTGAGACATTTATTTTGAATCAAAGCAATACTTTTTCATTGTTGCACACATTTGCAACTCTGGATAAGCACATAAGAAAGTCTTAATGAAGGCAGATGCTTCTGTAATATTTCTAGATTCTCTGAGCAGAAATAAGAAATACTGAAAATATAAAAGAAAACTACTTTGAAAAATTTCTAGAACATTTTTCTTGTTTTTTCAGACTAGCATCTGAATTTTTGGAGTACTTTCCAAACCAAAGGCTTCCTCAGAATCTGTTTTTTAAGAGTTATGCAGATCTCCATGGTCATTTACTTGCATGTCTTATATTTATCCCTGTTCTTTATCCCTGTTCTTTTGTCCTTTAGATTATGACTTTTGCAGTGACTATGTCATTGCCTGTGTTCATACATGATATAAATATTCAAGAACAATAACTATCACAGTCTAATTAAAGGTGAAGTGGTTGTGGCTGTTTAATATGGCAGTGGCTGTTGTATTGAGACTTAATGGGCCTCCAGAGGCCTGATTCTTGTTGTTAGGGTTGCGTCAGTGTTTGTAGAGACAAGCTTTCTAAAACCAGAGAGAAACCCTGATTATCCATTGACTGTACCTGCTTGTCCCACTGTCCCCTGCACAGCATCTGCCCCAGGCACTGATGCTCTCTGTAGCTAGCACAGTGGTCCTGCGGGCAGCTAGCTGTAAGGCCAGAGGTTAAATCTGGTGGTTGTCTGTTACTGTTAGGGAACAGATTTGAATAAAATGAGCAATTACAAAATCCTCAATTCTATATAGTGAAAATTTTGCCTGATTCATTCAAGGAAGGAATCAGACCTTCTATTTGTAGGCCAGATTGGGAAGTTAATGACAACTGGGGTTTGACATTTCTGTGTGAAAATACTGACTGTATACAGCGTCCATCAGTGGGACTGTGAACCCATGTAGGTTAGCTTGTCTATTTTGGTGACAAGATAATGTCACTTTTTCCCCCCTTCTTGAAAGTTCATTGAGAAATCCAGCTTCTGGCCACAAGGAAATCAGATACACAACTTCAGTAAGAACCTTTTTCAATACCTCATATATTTATTTAATACAACTATGCCTTTTATTTTCTGGGTGCCAAGTTCCACCTGCATAATGTAATATAATTACTAAGTTTGTCATAATCAGAATCTGTACAAGTTTGCTCAGAAAGCAAGAAACATGTTTCTGGAATTTAACTCTCTTTTGGTCAGTGTCTGCTTTATTCAGATTTGGTAAAATACAATACTTAAGAAAAATAATTTTACTGATGCTCTTTTACAGATGCAACTTATGTTAAACAACATATCTGATCTATATATCAAAACAGATATCCATTTGTTTGATGTGTGGGATTTTTAGATTGTGCGTAATCAAAGACTAAATGAGCAGAATATAGTTAGTGTACATTTAACTGTCAGTTTTAATCTTCTTGGAGGCATACAGCTGTCTTCTGCCACAAATGACACATTCCCACTTTTCCTAGTTCACTGCTGAGGGGTGATTGCCTCTGCTCAGAATCTATTTTTGTTTGAACCGAAGCCAACTGCGTGTATCCTCTCAGACAAAACTGGAAATGGCATGACTTCTCTGCTTTAAAGCTGCCCTGTTGAAATGATTGATATTTGCCAGTGACTGTCATACCGAAAATTAAGTCCTGTTCCTGCTTGATTTTTATATTGGTTTCTCAAATGTAGTGTTGGATTATAAACTAGATATTTTTATAATTTAAAAGTGAGAGCAAATGAATGCTAGAGTCGACCTTGCAGGGTAGGGGAAATCTCAGTTTGTTCTTTGAAGATGTACTTATTCTTAGAGAAAGTTCAATGTCTTTGATATGAGTGCTTTAAAATATGTAGGTCTTTCTGTGATTTTCCCACTCTAAGTTTTGGTTTTCAAAAAGATCAAAAATAGAACGGAGGATGAAAGCCTACCAGCCAAACCAGCACAGTCCAACTTCATATTTTGAAGTCTGATTATAAGAAGCCAATAGCTCAGGAAGCCTTGCTTGTCCAGCGCTTATGATGTCCCTTGAGCAGTAAAAATGCTAATTAATTTTCACAGAGCTAAAACTGTTTAGCTTAGCAGAGAGACTTCTTTTTATTTTTGTCTTATTTCTACTCTTCCAAACAGATTGTGGTTTTCTTTCACATTAAAATAAATGTAGGCCAAAACCCAGCTGACATGATGATGAGACCAATTTGACTGAGTACACAGACTAAAACGGTGTAGTCAGTGTAGCATTAGATAATAGTTAAGATTGTGCTCTAAGTTGAAATGCTCCTTCAGTGAAGACAAGCCCTAAGAGAAAGATGTCGGAGAGCATAGGAAGCTTACTAGGGTAGTGACTAATACGAATGAAATTATGTGAAAGGAAAATGTAAGCTGTCAAGCCTCCTAGCTTGAGCTGTAATATGCTGTAAAATAAATTTCCAAAAGAAATGGCAGAATTAATGTTTTAGCCAGAAAATATAGGACTGCATAAATAGCTTGTTAATTGATGGTCTTTGCAGTATATATGTCTTTGTGGTATAAATACTATAAATAATATTCCTGCATAGGTTGCATGTGTCTGTAGATGATTGCTGCATCCAAATGCATAATGATGTGGTCTTCAGAGTCAAAGCTGTGTTCAGCCTGGTTTCCATGCAGGGAGAGTGGCTCTTAGCAGCCATTCTAATGCTATGCCAAGTCTACTGTTTATAACTGGTATCTTTAGGATTTTCAACATTATTTCCCTATAGTTCATTAGCTTTAAATTACATTTATTATAAAAGAAACTACATAAATTAATTTTGTCTTGTTCTTTCCAGTGTATGCTTTCTGATCATTGTGTGTGAGAAGTAAATCAACATCCATAGATAAATGGCTTTTAGGAAGCAAGATTTGATAGAGTGACTTGAGTTTTTGTTAGTGATAGCCAAATTGTAATTATAGTTTAGAGTGTTTCCCATTAAAATTGGTATCAACAGAATCATCAAACATGCTTTCAAAATACTCTATCTTTTGGCTGAAAATTGTTAACTTCACATATGTATTACTTTCTTTTATCACCAAGCAATGTGTATATGCTATCAAAAGTAAAATTTCAGCATTTTAAGAACTTGCTTAGACATTTCTAAACATGGATCCATGGTTATGCAGATATGACAATTGTTACTTTTTTCAGTACATTTTAATTTTAAGTAAAATAATAATGTAAATGTAAATTAATGGACTAAAATATATTTACATTTTGTGTATTTAATAATTTTATAAACATTTGTCGTAAGTCTGTTCATTGTTGCATGCACACTAAAACCTCCTCTGCTTTACAAATGTCATGCTTACTTCTCTTGCCCCCATCCTACCACCACCCCAAACCTTACCATACTAGCAGGAGACTGAAGTCCATGTAGACAAATAAGAAAGATTGCAGTGCTTGATGTGCCATTTGTATATCATTGTTTTAAAGAAGAAATGATTGTAGCATACATAACACATTTTATGTGCACATTTTATCCTTGGAGCAGTAAGAAATTGTATCTTTCAAGCTTCTGAACAACATTCCTCTTTTTTATGAAATACACTCTTAGGGAAGAAAGTATTTTACATTTATAGGCTGTCTGTTTACAAAACTGTGTTTTTTTTAAGTCCTAGGCCACCAATTCCTCTCTCTCTCCTTCTATCAGAAGAAGAAGCAAGCATAATAATTCAGTCCTTCTGGAGAGGTTATCGGGTAAGAGTAATCTATAATTACTTTGCTTGATGTTGAAAACTGTAGGACTGTGAAGGCCCCAGGGAAAATCCTTACATAAATTTTAAGTAGGGGATACTAAAAATAGCTGCTGAGACCCCCATGGTTCATTGGCTTTGGATGTTGCTTTGCCTTACGCCTAGTGACTACAGTTTTTTCACAGACATTTATGCTGATGTAATGTCACCGTTTTCCTCGACAACAGAAATTCCACAGAAATTTGATTTTCAAAAGTACAATTAACACTGAACAATTTTTGCCTTTTTTTAGTTGAACTTTGGCTAGTTGCTAAAGGATGGAGTGTTATTTTGCTTCATGCAGGGATATGTGAGTGAGTGTGGAGATGAACAAGGAGAAACGGTGAGGTCTGTTAAGAAATAAAAGCATACAGAAACAAAGGACAAAGAATTGAGGCCCAGAATGAGACAGGAGATGTAGAAGAGGCATGAAGGCTGTTATTCAAGGAAAGAGACAACAAAATGGCCAGCAGATGTTCCAAGCTGTGCTAATAACACAATACTAATGCAATCCCCAATTTAAGGGGGAAAAGCAAGGCACGTAAAATAAATACAAAGAAAATTGGCTAATACTGTTATTTTGGAGGATAACAGCCGTGCTAACACTAGGGTATGAAATAGGTTATTTTGAAAATCCCGAGCAGATTCTGTCAAATATTTCTTTGAAAGGCTTGGAAAGAAATGGACTTGAAATTCAGGTGACTTTGATGACAAAGGAATGTCTTTGACTGCCTTTATCAAAATTTAAGTTTGTAAATAGCCTCCAGATATAGCAGTAATTTAATTGTGATGGACAGTGAGATACCTCTGCCTGTATGTCAGGCGTTCTTTAAATAACAATTGGTATAAATAACAATCAGTATAAAACACTTCAAGTTCTTTACTACTTTTCAGAAGCATGAATACGTAAGTGGCTACTATAATGTGCCATGCAGACAAAGATGATGAAACACCTTGAAATTATTTTCTTGACTGACAGATTTTTGTGGCACTTTCTGCTTGTTCGTTTTCTTTCATTTTTCTTTTTTCAGAGATGGCATTGACACTAACATTAATTAACACTGACAATATCACTGCAGTCACCTTTACAATGGGGTATTGCAAAGGCAACCATTATCCAATAACAGTTATGTTTGCTGAACAGTTCAAAGATGCTCGGATTCATTGTGCTTCTGCCAAAGCTTCTGAAGGGCACTATCCTTCCTTGCTATATTATTAACTTCAAAATTTTCACAGTAGTATTTATCATTCTAAACCAGTTCCCAGAAATGAGAGAGAAACTGTACTTGTAACAAGTAGGAGACATCAAAAATAATACAGACTATAAAAGTAGCTGTTACATGTTTTAGCTTATTAGAGCTAAAAGATCTTGGGTTTTTAAAAATTAAAATTTAAATTAATATCAGAATATAAAATAAAAATAATTTGTAACAAGTTACTACAGTGGGTAATGTGTTATCCTCGGGCTTGTAAATTAAGAGAATACTAAGCTTAAATGGGATTTCATCACATTAATGATAAAGTATATCATGAAAATTTACCAAATAATTCAGATGATTTGCTTTTAAGATAAACAGCTCTGTCAGCTGACACTGATTTAACGTGGCAACAACTGAGCACTTACAAATAATGCCCTTTTGCATTCTAAGGATATTATTGCCAGTATTTCAAACTCTCTTCTGATATTTTTCATTAAACCTTGTTTGATAATTTGCAGAATTTCGAACTTTTAAACACTATTATTGAAATAGAAGTTTACACATTGTGATCACATTGAATAATTAAACACAAACACACATACATGTTTTACATGGCACTGTGGTAAAGGAACAGTGTACTTCATCATTTGTCTTCTCAAGATACACTTTAAAGGACATAAAATCACATGCCATAGGTACTTACTTAAGAGATGGATGGAGAAGGATTCTGTGCATACTGTTGATTTCAGAAAAAGTAAAAGGCTCAGAAATCTGAGCAGGATAGTTTTGTCTTTAACAATGCTATCCCAAATGTGAACCTTGTATTTTTTTTTTCTTAAACAATGTCATATAAAGTGGGAGAAACCACAGCAAGTTATTTTTCTCAGACACAGCTTCTATGGACTCAGACCATTTTTGAGCTATTTTGTTAACCATATTGATCTAGGTAGTAGAGTTTATCTTGTTACTGAGCATCATGTCTTCTCATGATACTTCACTTGTTTCTGACACATCTAGCTGTCTGGGTATGCCAGTATCAAAGCACATGACAATCAGCAAAAATGGATCAGGCAGTAAAAATTCTTCTATTTGAAGAGAAAAAAAAATTATAGGTACAGAATATTGAGAACTTTTTGGTAATAAAGCATGATTGATCAAAGCAAAGCAGTCCATTCATCCTTACCTGAGGCAAATTTCAGAAAAATACTTGGTTTTGTAGTAATAATTAATGTCTGCCATCAACAAATTCCTTGTTACAATCTTTCATTCAAAAACATTGATGAGTACTCTGCAAATTATAAATCAAGAATTAAATTTCAGAACAAACAGCAGTAGAAGCTACAACAATTAAGGAGATCAGAAAGGAAGATGTCATCTTGAAGGGTCTCTTTGAGGGCAAGGTGGAGCACTCAAGTAAGACTTGAGACGGATCTGTCATCAGAATTCTTTCTCTTCACTTCTCACCATCCTCCTTTATTGAGGTTTCATTCATTTGTTGTGGGCCAAGGCAGTAGTCAGTATCTGATGAAAACCCTTGATTGGTAGCTATCCATTTTCCAGACACTTTTCCAATAAAAGATGATATATTCCTTTACCTCTTTACTGCAGAATCTGTGCTTAGTGCCATTTATTTTACAGAGTATTTTTAATCTTTACAATTTGCATAACTGTTCTAGACTGAAAGGATTTTTCATTAATACAATTTCCTCTAATGTCTCTGGTTGAAGCCTTAGTGTTATCCTTCTGCTGTTGTGCAACATGTTCTCAACTAGCCCTGAAAGCTGTTTATTTTTACTAAATCTTGTAATATCATGAAGTTTAAATTGGTTATCATTATGCAAATATTTATAGGTAAATATTGTTTGACCAAAAGTTAAATCAGAATTGAAACAGGTTTATCTTTATATCTTAAAGCGGTGCTGTGCTTTTGCTATCACAATTTATATTCCTTTCCAGCCAGTTATGGCTACTAGCAAAGGCTCAAAGGCAGGTCACACAAATATTCACTGTTACTTACAGCAAGTGTAGGTTCAATCCAAGTGACTTGGGTAAGAGTAAACTCTCACTTCAGAGTTATGACCCCTTCAATGCTTCTTGCATTGCTAGTCTGCAGGAGAGACACATCAGATGTTTGGAGAAGACCCTTGACTCTCTTGCTTGCCTGGAGATTTTGCTGCTGTGTCATGGCTTTTTAATCATGGTAGAATTGCACTCCGATTACAAAACAGACTACTTTCTGAGAAATTATCACAACTATGTTAAATTATAATCTGTTAAGCATATTTGGAACATGTTGATAGTATTTTGTGAAGCTTCTGTCACCTGTTTTACTGCAGGTGGCATATCTGTGTTCCTTTTTCTTTCACTTTTTAAAAAATTACTTTGTTCTGGGAGCCCATGTTCCCTGCTTGGATTTCATGTTGGACTTTGGAGTATTTGAATCTATCTGACTCTGCCTTTATCTCAGAACCCTGTATTTTGCTATGTGTTTCACTATACTTTCACTGGTTTATTTATCTAGGGGGAGTATACAAAATCTACTATACTTGCCTTTTAACTGTTAAGAGTTACTGTCTTCATGTTCAGTATTCGAAGATCATTGGCCCTGTCATGGGCCAAAATACAGGTCTTGTGTAGCTGCGGTTGTCAAGGGACACTTAATTTTTTAAAAAATTTTATATTTAGATGTAATGGTAGTAATTTCTCTGTCTTTCTGCCTCTTTTCTATTACTGCCATTTACATGTCCCGTGATCATTCCTTTAACCTTTTCTTGTGCAGGTAAAGTGACTCCATGTAATAGGGAATTATGGGTTTTATAAAAGCATACATAACAGTATAAAAGAAGAAAATGTCTCTTGCAAGCCTAAAGAAACTATCAAGTGATTGGGATTATATTTTATTTTTGAAAATAGTATTTGATGAATTTAATAGAAAATGGTTTTAATTTTTGTACAGCTGTACAGACGATCACTAGTAACTTTTTTTAATTTTAAAAATTTTATATCAACCTAGTAAGAACTTATTATAACTTTTATAGATGATAATACAGAACTATATTAGTATAACGGGATATTATTAGAGGCCTAAGAGGTATCTGATGTCAAGTCACTGAGTAAAAGTCTTGTCTGTCTTTGTTGATCATGTGACCTTGTATTATTTTTCTGCTCTGCCAGTACACTATCTGAAATATTGCAAGCTATGTTCTAAGTGGATTGAAAAATGCTGTGGGAGTTCATCTACTGTCTATTGCATTCTAAACTGCACCATAAAGGAGAAATTCTGGGTGGAAAGAAAACTTTTGATAAATAATTTATATTGTTTTCTTTAACTAGTGGAAAACTAAGTCCTGTTGTTTTGCTCTGTATGTATCTAAGTAAAGTGGGAGAAAGCAGCATAATGGAGTAATAGAGTTCAAATCATAGAACAAACTGTATCATGTAAGAATAAACTAAATATAAGAAATTTTCTAGAAAACTAAGTAGTCAGCTTCCTGAAAGCAAAAATGTGTCCCAGAGAAACCAATCTCATGGCTGCCTGTTTCTACCATGTTATTCAACATCAGCCTGAATTACTAGGACACTAAGTCCTAAAACATAATGACATTTTATATACAAAACATTTAGAAAAAACAGAAACTATATTTTTTATATTTCTATTATAATTTGACAATGACTTTAAGGGAATAATTGCTTACCAATCTCTAACCTGATCTAGCATGTCCCCTTCCCACTGTTGTCAGAAGGATGGTATCTCTTCTGGATTTTTGTTCTAGCACTGGAAGGTAATTGTGCGAGTGCCAAGGTAGACAACTGGCAACACACTGCTAATTAATCAAATTCTGCTTAGAACAAGTTTAAGTGGCAGAGCAGTAAAAGTTGTTGATGCAAAGCTAGCTCTTTCTTATGTTACTAGGATCTACACCAGTACAAAAGCAGTAATAGAAGAATTCAAGTTAAATCTTAAATTGAGTCAAGGCCTGTGACTGTTATAATTTTATGTGGAAGCAGAATTACACCCTTCATAGGGATGATTGACTGACAAAGAATAGATATAATATAATGCATTCCAATTACTTTAAATAACAGATTAATGGCCCTGCTGTTTGTGAAAATTGTATGGCTGGGATTGTCAGTAAGCCTATTTGCAGCTGATAGCAGGTGTGAATCAGTTTGCTGGAATAAATTTCCTGCTGTATGACCCTTCATGCTCCTCTTCTGCTCTATTATGTTGGTCAGTGGGTTGGTTTTATAGTGTTGTGGTTTTCTAAAGGCACTAATACTGTTCAGCATAATGCTTTAAATTTTAATTAACTCAAAGAATAAATGTCTCACTGCAATCACATTCTCCTTGATAATCAAAATTATCCCCTAATTGGTGTATTTATGTTTTCAGTGGGGTTTGTCAATTATGTGGGTTTTATTTCTGTATAAGTTGAAAACTGTAAACCTCTGGGATTGTGCTTTTATATCAGGCCCAGCAAAAAGGATGGATGTCACGTATTTTCCCAGCCACAGCCCCATGAAAAAAATTGTACTGTTATCTTGGCTAACATGAACGTATATAATTTTCATTACATTTTGTTTTGCCTTTCCCAGGTCCGCTGTGATACTGAAATACAAGAGCTACGTCAGTGGCAAAAGCAGTTGAGAGAGGACAAAAACATTTTTGAGAGAGTGAAAGAATTCTGGACTAAGCAGGAAGCCAAAGGTAAGTAAATTAAATTGTGTAGTTTTTAATTTTTTTTTTTTTTACATTGTGTTGAATTTTTACATTTCGAGTTGTATAAAAAAGTAAGACACACAGTAGGACACTAATCCTGAGAATGGAAGGTAATGTCTGGTGGAAATGCCTGGCTGTTTCCTTACAGTCACTACTAACTCTGAGTTAGTTGCCTGTATAGCTGAAAGTGACTATTTAAAATACGGTACAGGGCCAAAACTCAATAATTTCAGAGGACTGTGACAATGTGTTGGCACAGTATTTCCGAGGGCAGGATCAGACCTCTACCAGCTACACAACATGTCAATACTGATTTTTACCAGATGGGTTGTAGTACAGTTTTTCTGAACTGTGGGATTTCTATCTGGTAAACGTTCTGCTGGCATTCTTCTGTAGTTATTTATAGCAGAAGTTGGCCTGTACAGTTCTAAAAAAAGAAAACAAACCCAAACAACCCAATATAATTGCCAAGGGAAATGAGGCCAGATTGCTTTAAGACTGACACTGTAATATGTTTCCTTTTTGCCCTGATTGTGGACAAGGCTTTACTGACAGGGTCAAAGTTACCATTCACTTACTTGGACACAGTGGTGTAATTATGATTATTTGCCCAGCCTCTTTGTCTGCTAATGCAGAAGGATTCACTGCCTCCTCAACCACTCTACATTTTATCAGCCTCTGTGGGCTGGGCTCATACGTGTTACACATAGGGATGTGAACTACACACCTAGAGATGAAGGTGAGAAGAGGTTGTTCAGCTATGTTGTTCATGTGTTGAAGAGAGGGAAAATTATGTTGTACCAGTCACCATTGTGTGGTCCTTCAGTCTGATGCCACAGTCACAGATGTGTTCTTGAACGGCCAGTCTTTGCCCTGAACTATATAAGAGCATTCAGGGTGCAGTTTCACACAATCAATTGGATCAAACTGGGAGCTGCCAAAAGGGTTGATCCCACTCTGTAGTTCTTGCACCAGTTTTAGTGATTGTGTAACTGTACCATGGGTTTGGATCAGTGAGGGGTTTTGATACAGGGCAGGTTAGTTTTCCACAACGTTGTTGCCACATGATTGTTAGATCTAAGACAAAGGAGAAAGTGAACTGGGGAGAGAGAGGAATAATGACTTTCAGCAGCCCACAGGTTGGTTAAATTGAGCAGAATATGAGATGGTATTCTCATACCTGGTTACTGTTCATGGCTGAGGAAGTGCCAATCTCCAGGTGGTTGGCAGGAGTTAAAAACCAGGGGCAAATCATGGCTTAGACCTCTTCAGCTCAGTACACTAAAGCACATCTGTCAATGCCCTCATTCTGAACCTGTTTTTTGTGAGATTTCACTAGGAAAGGGGGGACTTAAATTTGAATCCCTGCATGGTGAGAGAGTTTAGAATCAGGTTTCTCTGAAAGGTTTTAAGATGCTGAGTCCTGCTCAGTTCGATACCTACTATACAGAAAAATCTACAACTCTGGATTTCAAGTAACAGAAAATTGCTGATGTGCGATATGGAATTAGGCAGCTTACTGGGAGGCCTCTGTCCTCTGTGTTGCCTCATGGCCTGGGCAGCTTTTCACTCAGCATTGAGTATTTGTGGGTCACCATTTGGAGCTCTTTCTCTTTGCTGCCTCTATAGACCATGCCACTGTTTCATTGGTTCACATTTAAAGTCTTAAGTTGAGACATTGAGTATGTCCTGCTGGGTCTTTGCTCAAATGTTTTTTTCTTTCCTTATTCTCTATGCAACTTAACTGTTCCTTTGAATTAAATGGCGATATTGTACTCATGCACAGATACAAAATAGGGTATTCTGGAATTAAGTGTTTTGACATCCTCACAGTATGGTTTATTTTAGAAACTACAGTAAGAATGCCCATACATAAAGAGTTCTTATTAACATCACTGCTGTGGCAATCAGAGCTTGTTGTAAGTGACTAGAGCCTTGCAATTCTTCAGTAACTGTAGTCATCAAATCTTTTGTGGTTGTTTTTAATTTCAAAACTGTACTGCCTTTTAATAGATGATATAACTAAAACTTCACTATGAAGCATTTTAATTATAAAATAGTCCATGCTCTGTAAATGTCATAGGAATTAACAGCAGTCAGGTCATTAACCTGATGCACTGCAATTATTCTTTCACTTTTTATTGTGCATGTATTTTGTCTGTCATTAGTTGTTACAAGCAGATCAGGCTAAAAGGATGGCATGAAAGTCCCCCACATTTCTCTTTCTGCTTGCAATCTTTTGAAATTTTTGCCTAAAGGTGAAAGGAGTTTCTCCTTTCACATATGTAAATGGATAAATCTGTTACTGGTAACGATCATTATGCCAACGGGATTATGAAATAGCCCCTTGTTTTCAGTTTCCCTTATTTTGATGTTTTTTCCTTCACACAAAATAAATGCAATAGGCACTTGGAGTTAATAATATTTTAAACAAATGCTAGACTTTTTCTTGTGTGAAATCCCAGCACTTCTAGATGGGCTACTTTTTATAATACCAACAAACACAGAGTTATAGATTTACAAGTTCTCCATGTTTTCAAGCTCCCCCACTGGCAAATTTTTTATTCCCTAAACTTCTTTTTTATTATCTCCTATTTGTACTTGCATATCTGTTGGGTAGCATTAGTTTTTAGGACATCTAGTCAGGGTAATGTTGCAGTTATACTGTGTTAAGTTTGCTGTCAAGCCTTCTGAAATGTGTGCAGAATGCCAACTAAGTCTGCCATCAGAATTGGATAAGTAGGTATTTCTATTGGATGTTTTCTACTGAACACAGTGTCCAGTAGTTACAGTTTAAATCTTTCCAGTAAATGCCTTAATATATGGTGCTATTGTAACACAGTTTCTCCTCTATTGTGTGAAGTGAAACAGTATTTAAACCCAGTCTCACACAACAGCTGTGCAGAAAACTCTGCGTAGTGCTGGGAGCAAACATTTTAAATTGTTGCTCTGGGTTTCTGAAGTAATCCACATTTTGTCACATAACATGAAGTGAATCAGTGGCAACACTCATCCTCTAGGACAATGTTCACTGTTAAAAAGCTGCCTCTATGTGCCTCCTCCTTTAATCCTCTGCAGTGCTCACCTGCCAGTCCCACGCTGGTACACAGGGTGATTTAATATTGGCAATTGAGAAAATCACATTCAAGTACTGCATCGACTGTGTTCCCCAGGGCCCAGACAACCTCAGCAACTCCTCCTGGCTTGCCTGTGTGAGACAAAGCTCTTGCACAGAGGGAGGTCTGTCTCTAGTTTTGCTGCTTTCCCTGTGATGAGAGCTGGCAACTGCAGCAGCAGCTACTGGATAGTTCTGTGTTTTTGCATCTTTGCAAGTACAAGGAAAAGCATTTTCCTGTTGAAGGTACTTCTCCTGCCCAAACAGTGGTTCTTTATGATCTCCAGGGAAAATATGTGGGCTGGATTGAAGCTCCTACTGGCTTGCTTCAGCTGCATCATGCTATTTAATAGAATGTGTCCAGTAAAATCTGCTTCCATTGTAGTATTGCACAATGCATACTATATGTATTACACCCTGAGTTCATTAGAAAATATCCAGTGGAGAAATCTACTTTGCCAGTTCCAATTGCAGAATTAGTTGGTGTTCTTTGTACACTTCAAAGTGCTTAACACTCTTCCAATGTTCCTTCACAGCGCTAGGAGTTCTTGTCATATGGAGGAGTTTGCATTGATACCGGTAGTGATACCAGTACAAATAGCAGTAGATTTCTTTGAGTAGATATTTAGATACATTGAGAGGCAGGCTTATAATTAGCAGAGACAGTAACGAATGACAACCCCAAAAGCAGTTCTGCATATCTACACCAGCAGCAGGACCACAGCGAAAGCTGTTCCTGCAGGTTGTATTTCAGCTGTGAAGGCTTAAGTATGACTACAGTCTGCAGAATTCTCAGGGTATAATTTTTTAAATCATAAAGACAGTTAAGTATCAGCTGATATCAAAGCTGTCATAAAAGAGTAAGTTTTCAGAAGACATTGTTTTTGAAACCTTCCTTTATGTATCATGGCCTCCTTAGTTGCCTGCTATTACAGTATTATATATTGCAGGTTGTTATGAGCTGACACACTTTTCTGTGTCTGCATTGTGCTGTGTGCAGGACTTTTTGATCACTATTTCACTTAATTATGAAATGTTCAGAACAAGAAGAATAGAAGACTTTTCTTCAGGACATTATACATTATAGTACAAATACTGAAACTGGAAGACTCTCACAATTTTTTTTTTTTTTGGTCATAGCAGTTTGTTATACACTTGCATAGATTTTCCAAACATTTATTCATACTTATATTGCAGTTTTAATCCACAAAAGATCAGGGTTTTTTTATGAACCCATGCAATTGCCTAAGGGATATTTTCTAGGTGAAAAGAGTTCATTCTGAGGAGCAAAATTGTACATCACAACAGGAAAAAACTGCATTTATATGTGTATGTATATATATGGGGTGTTCATATGCAATGAGTGAAGTAGAATTCTTGGCTTTAGTAGCTTAGAGTTAGAAAATTAAACAAAGTAGTAACTAGTAGCAGTATACAAAGATGATGAAAAATAAAATTCATGAGACAGAAGTTGTATTCCATCAGTTTTGACGGGTCTGTAAAGAAAACTTTGGCAGAGCAACCAAGGTTTTCTTAAAGTCTTTGTGTAATTTCATAGCCTATTTACTATGGTTTACTAAGAGTTTACTTTGGGAAAAAAAAACAGTAGGCATCTTTTTTGTTTTTTTAAAAAAAAGAAGACATAAGTAGATCTGGTTTTGAAGATCTGAAAACAGTGGATTCAAATTTACTATGATAAAATTAATCTCATTATAAATTTAAAAAATAAAAGCCAAATTTGTCTCTGTAATACATGTTTAATTCTGTCAGTGTTCATTGTTGAAAAATTGCATTCCTGATAGAAGTTGACCTGGTAGGCTTGCTAATTAATTTTAAATTATTGCAGTTTAATGTTTGTGTTCTGGACTCTGTT